GCTGAGCTCAGTTCTGCAGGAAACTATTAGTTTGTGCATCTTATATGTGGCCAGGTGTTGAAGTTCTGGCTAGAGGCTCACGCTAAAGAAAACTTGGATAATAGCATGTGGATTAGGGAATGGTGTCCTATGGGATCCTCTTGGATAGTACGTATTCAGGAGACAAAGGACCAGGTGGAAGTAGTTGGGATGAATCTATCTATAAGCTACTTATGTATTTAACCAACTGTTGCCTGACAAATGTAGATCAGGATAACCAAGACCATTGTAAAATGACTTTCTTCCAGAGTTAAGGATAAGTGACAACATTCACGATATGGCAAGCATTGACTCCTCAATGCTTGCCATATCATGAATGGTTTTAAGCCAGAGAGATTTATTCATTCATGCATTAATTCCACAAATTATGTGGCTGGTGTATGGCCATGAATTACATACTTCCTACCCTCAAATAACTTAGTATAGTAACAGACAAATATTTAGATAATTTGAGCACGGTCTAGAAAGACAGAAGTGCATTGGATTTTACTAGAATATTGAATAAGGATGCCCAGCCCAGCTTAAGGTGGGTAGGACATGGGGAACAATGACAGAGAAGCCTTCCTGGAGGATGTTACAGCGGAATTGGTTTTTAAAGAACAGTAGTTTTACTGGCTGAGAAAGGAAGAGGGATGGGTGTGTGGGAGTGTTGGGGTGGGGATGGCAGGGTGTGTGGGAGTGTTGGGGTGGGGATGGCAGGGTGTGTGGGAGTGTTGGGGTGGGGGTAGCAGGATATGTGGGACTGTTAGGGTAGGGGTGGTAGGTGAGTAGATGGTGGTGTTCAGGAAAGGGACAGCATCAACCATGGTATGAAGGGGATACGGAATCAAGACTTGTGCCTGGGTTGGGCACAGTGGCTAACGCCTGTAATCCCAGCAGTTTGGGAGGCCGAGGTTGGTGGATCACGAGGTCAAGAGATCAAGATCATCCTGGCCAATATGGTGAAACCTTATCTCTACTAAAAATACAAAAATTAGCTGGGTGTGGTGGCAGACAGTTGTAGTCCCAGGTACTTGGGAGTCAGAGGCAGGAGAATCACTTGAACCTGGGAGGTGGAGGTTGCAGTGAGCCAAGATCATGCCACTGCTCTCCAACCTGGTGACAGTGTGAGACTCTGTCTCAAAAAAAAAGACTTGTGCCTAGAAGCACTATGTTTGAAATGCTAAATGGGCATCTGGAAATGTCACAAAGGTAAGTAGAGGTGTGTGTCTGCAGTTTCAGGGCGAGTACACAGCTGGAGATCTAAATTTAGCAGTCCCCGGTATATACATGGTATTACATGGTATTTACATATGTAAGACTAAGCGAAGTTGCTCAAAGAATGCATAGTTACATAAGGGACCCCAGTACGGAGGCTGGGGAGACAGATCACCCTAATATTTATTTATTTATTTGTTTGTTTAGAGACAGGGTCTTGCTCTGCTGTCCAGGCTGGAGTGCAGTGGTATGATCATGGCTCACTGCAGCCTCAACCTCCTGGGCTCAGGTGATACAGGTAGCTGGGACTACAGGCACATACCACCACACCCAGCTAATTTTATTTGTATATATATTTTGTAGAGACAGGGTCTCCTTTTGTTGTCCTGGCTAGTCTCAAAATCCTGGGCTCAAGTGATCCTCCTACCTCAGATTCCCGAAGTGTTGGGATTACAGGTGTGAGCTACTACGCCCGGAGACCACTCTAATATTTAGTGGGTAGTCTAGGAGGAGGAGCCAGCAAAAGAAACCACAAGGAATGGCTATACAGGTGGGTGGGTTGAGTGGGGGGGGGGGGCGGTGACCAATAAGGTGTCAAGGGAAAAAAAATAGAGTCTCAAGAAGGAGGGATTGATGGATGATTTAGAATGCTGCCGGGAAATAGAGAAAAATAAAAACAGAGATATGACTATTGAATTTGGTAACACAGAGATCGTTAATGACATTGACAGAGGCCATTTCAGTGCAGTGGTAAAGGGGGAGGAAGGTAGAGCAGTGTGTGGTGGCACATGCCTGTAGTCCCAGCTTTTAGGGAGGCTGAGGCAGGAAGATCGCTTAAGCCCAGAAGTTTGAGGTTGCAGTGAGCTATGATCATGCCATTGCATTCCAGCCTGGGTGACAGAGCAAGACTCTGTCTTTTTTTTTTGAGACGGAGTCTTGCTCTGTTGCCTAGGCTGGAGTGCAATGGTGTGATCTCCGCTCACCGGAACCTCTGCCTCCTGGGTTCAAGCAATTCTTCTGCCTCAGCCTCCCAAGTGGCTGGAACTACAGGCATGTGCCACCATGTCCAGGTAATTTTTTGTGTTTTTAGTAGAGACCGGGTTTCACCGTGTTAGCTAGGATGGTCTCGATCTCCAGACCTCATGATCTGCCCGCCTCGGCCTCCCAAAGTGCTAAGATTACAGGTGCGAGCCCCCGCCCCTGGCCAAGACCAAGACTCTCTTTAATAGAAAAACAAGAATTTTTTTTTAAGAGGAAGATAGGCAGTGAGATGGACAAGAGCAACCCTTGACTGAGCTAGCGGGTGTTGTGGCTCCTCTTCCTCAGGGGCATTCTGATGAATGGGAGTTGACTTATGGTCTTCTGACAGGGCTGTCCAGGGCCCAAAAAGAGCCAGGTCACTTACACCAGGGTGCCAGGGCACACTGGCCCTTGATTATCAGAGCCATGTCAGCCCATTCCACAGGCATGAAGTACCCTTGAGGCTCCAAATAACGTTCTTAAAACAGCACCTGGCACGTAGTCGGTGCTATATGAATTTTTGTTATAATTATACCAGTTTCTAGGCAAGCTTTATTGGCTTCTAAGAACAAATCATTTATGTAAACCAAATCATTTTCAGGATGTGTAAAGTCTATATTCTTTTTTTCTGTCTGTCTTTCTCTCTCTCTCCCTCTTTCTGGGTTCTGGTTAGGATAGAGAGCTCTCTCTGGAGAGTCTAGGATAGAACCACCAAAGAAGGGTCGAGCAAATGAAAAGGAAAATAACTGAAGGCATATCCAGAGAAATACATTTATGAAAATACCAACATTGAAGGAAATATATCCTACAGTGCATTAAAGTTTTGTACCTGTTATACAGGTAGCCAAAAGATGACAGATAAAGGGTGGATTTTTGGTTTTGGTTAATTCATTCGGTTAATTCATTGGTTAATTCATTTCATGCAGAAATGGAGGAATGATCATGCAGTAGTGCAGTTGTACCTTTGGAGGAATTTCAGGTATTGTGTTACAGTTCCACTGTTTTAGAAATCAAGAATATGGTAGAAAGTGAAGATGGTGGGGGCCAGGCGCAGTGGTTCATGCCTGTAATCCTAGCACTTTGCTAGGCTGAGGCGGGCGAATCACGAGGTCAGGAGATGAGATCATCCTGGCTAACACGGTGAAACCCCGTCTCTACTAAAAATACAAAAAATTAGCTGGGTATGGTGGCGTGTGCCCGTAGTCTCAGCTACTCGGGAGGCATGAGAATTCCTTGAACCTGGGAGGCATAGGTTGCAGTGAACTGAGATGGGGCCACTGCACTCCAGCCTGGGCGACAGAGTGAGGCTCGGTCTCAAAAAAAAAAAAGTGGCGATGGTGGGGAGGATGTATAAATACCTTAAACTCCCCCTTCTTGGTCTCCAAACGCCTTTATCACTCCATTCAGCCTTAGGCCAAATTCTGGATGCTTTTGCAGGTGGTTTTCATGTGTAAAACGTGCATATCTATCTCCTAGGAGTATTGCGGAGATGGAATGCGATATGTAAAGTGTGCCGTATATAGCAACTGCATCATTAGAGCATCTTTCAGCAGAAGTGCACATCCCCTCTTAGCTGATGACTGGCATTTCCTGTTCATTTTTTTCCTTCTACCTCTTAACCTTACTGACGATGCTTTCAATACAAATCTAATAATAACGGCAACTAACATTTATCATGTGCTCAAATTAAGTCATTTCATCTCGCAAACAATCCTATCAGGTAGGACTGTCATCTTCATCTGCTGAGCCTTGGAATCACATTAGGCAGCCTGGCTTCAGAGCCCAGCTCTTTTTTTGTTTGTTTGTTTTAGATTTGGCAGGAACGCATTCTGTCTCCCAGGCTGACAGCTCACTGCAGCCTTGACCTGCGGGGCTCCAGCAGTTCTCCCACCGCAGCCTCCTGGTAGCTGAAACTGTAGGCACGCCATCATACCTGGCTAATTAAAAAAAAAAAATTTTTTTTTTTGTAGAGATGGGTCTCCCTATGTTCTCCAGGCTGAACTTGGAACTCCCGGCCTCAAGCGATCCTCCCGCCTCGGCCTTCCAAAGTGCTGGCACTACAGGCCTGAGCCACCGCGCCCCGCCCTGAGCCCAGCTCTTAAGCACGGATTCCACCATGTTTACTTAGCTGCAGAGACCCAAGCTACTTCTTGGGCCATACCCTTCTCACCGCAAACTCAGGTTTCTGTTAGAAACCACCCTTAGTGGCCGCAGTGCCCAGGACTCCCGCCTTGGTTCCTGGGGCCCGCACGACAGTAATTTAATTCACCCAGATGGAAGCAGCCCAAGCGCGCCCCTCTGAACCCCGTGAACTTTCATCCCGGCTGAGCAGCGAGTCTGCACTGCTGTCCCTTCCTTTGTGGTCTCAGGGCTGACGCAAAGCGACACTTTCTTAAGTAGCAATACGGGTATTCTCAAAAAAGGCACAGGACCCCAAGAATCCCTGCAGACGAGCACGTTAACTGGACAGCTGAGCCCGCCCCAGAGCCCTGGCGCTACCGCGAGGGGCTGGGACACCGCGAGGCGCAGACAGCCGCGGCCTGGGGCAGGAGGAGCGGGCAGAGGGGGCGCCACCGCGAGACGCGGGCGCGGCAGAGGCCGCGCAGGCCAGGACGCCGAGGGCGGGGCAAGAGCGCAGCAGGAAGGGGGCGTGGCCAGGAGCCCGCCCGGCCGCTCCCCCGCCCCTCCCCCTCCGCTCTCCGCCCCAGCCCGGCGGCTCCGCCCCGTGGGTGACGTCACTGGCCAGGCCAGCCGGCGCCATTTTGAAAGTGGAGTCGCCTGCCCCTGCCGCTGCCGCCGCCGCCGTCGCTGTCGTAGCCGCCGCCGCCGCTGCCGGAGAAAGAGCACGAGCGGGGAAGCCTTAGAGTGAAATCTAGCATCCTGCCGGCTGCTCTGCCCGCCCCTCCTTCCTTTTCCCCCAGCCCCCGTCCCCTCCCCCCGCAGGTGCCATCCGCCGCCATCCGCCCTCTCTACCCCCCCATCCCCAGGTGAGGGGGGTGAGTTCAGGAAGCGGAGACCCCGAGGAACCCCGCAGGGTCACCATTTGCAGCGCAACATGGCAGGTAAAGGAGAAATCCCCCTCGCCCCCTGACAAGGCACCGTTTCCTTCCTCCTCCCTCCATCACCCCCTAGCGACCGCCCTCGCGCGGAGCCACGGGGCGCCCCTCGGGTTTGAGGGAGTGGGGTCCAGGGGGGTGGGGTGGAGGCGGGGAGGGCTCGGAGGAGGCGAGTGGTCGCGGTGAGAGCCACTGGGCTTGGAGAACGGGGCCGGCGCCGTGGCGGGGTGGGGGTGGGGTGTGCCGGCGAGCTTGGGGTGAGGCGTGGGTGGGGCGGGGTGGGGGCGCGTGCAGATTTGTCTCTCCCGCTCTGGAGCCGGGTGGATCCTCTCCCACCTCGCCCCCCGTCTTTATTTTTATTTTCTCCTGCAGGTCTTCATTTAATTTCTTTTTTTCCCCGGGCTGCAAGCCGCCTTGGGTGTATATACACATTATTTTGTACTGAGAAGGAAGAGCGCCTTACAAGTTAAAAATGCAGTGGGGGCATATGTGTCTTTTTTTTCCCCCACTGTGGATGCCAATATTTTTGAGATTGGAAGCCTAAATTTTTTGTTTCAAACCATTTCCTTTCCGTTTCTTTCCCTCTTCCCACCAAAGAGTGCAAGGCCTTTCATGTACAGCAAGTTGCATGAAAAACATAATTTCAACTTTCCGTTTAACATGTTAGCTTTTTTGCAGATGTCCTTTTCCCAAAAGGGTTTGGTAGAGTTAGTTAAAATAGTTGCGGAGTTCAGAGATATAAATAGTAAGGAGGAGAGAGATTTAGGTAGAAGCTTTGTAGGGGAGGGGAAAGGATGTAGAGAGAAAACCAGTTTGGAAATAAATTTAGCAAGGAATAGGGGTGACAGGGGAGAGAGAAGTAATGTAATTGCTTTGAGAATTCTTTTTGTACATGTTGGTGTTGCTAAATCTTTTCCTTCATGTAGTAGAATGGGTTCCAGATTTAGATTCAGTGTCTTTCTCTCTGGAGCTTCAGGACGTTTTCACCATTTCGTCCCCAGTACTTGCACGTGAAATAGAAACATTCCGAGATTAGACCAGTTTTCCGTGCTGTGTTCATAATTTAGAGAATTAAACCTTTTGAAAAAGTTAACATGTCGGATTGACTTTAGGTTTGCCATGAAACAAGTTGCTTGTTGGCCTTGTTGGATGATGAAATGAGATTAAAATTGTTTTGCACGAGATGACATACTAGCAAAATGAATTATTTGCCAGATCCTTTGGAGTCGAGGGATGAGGTGAAGGGAGGCAGAACAAGCTTCCTTTGACAGTCTCTTTAGCAGCATTCATTTTGGTTTCTTTTCCTCTCTGTCTGGAGCCAGTGATTTGCTGGTAATGAATGCAAAGAAATGGGTGTAGTGTTTGCTGTGTGTGCACTTGGTGATAGGGTTCATATGAATCATTACTACTCACCCAGGCAGTAATGTTCCCGAAGTTTTCTCTCCGTTCTATGTTTCATGGTAGTTTAACCTTATTAACTCTTCTGCAGGCTTTTTGTACACTTAAAAAGAAAACTTTTTAACTCTTGCTATTTACTTTTTTCTGGTAGGTCTTGCCTGAGTGTGAGGCTTTTACGATATTTGAGAGGAAGGGAGGTTTGTGAGCAGATGTATAATGACCATAGAACATATGCCTTTAAATATTTCATACCTGGAATTTTTTTTCTTTTTAATACAATACCAACTATTGGGGACTTAACCTTCTTCCAAACTGGTGCTGTTGGTGATAGTTGTGCTCTTGGTGGTAGTTGTATGTGTGGGCAAAACTAAGCTGTTAGTATCATGATCATGCCAACCGTGGATTGTTTACGAGAGTCAACATGAGCAGAACTCAGTTTTAATTGGTATGTTTTCTCTTTCCAGGAGCTGGAGGAGGGAATGATATTCAGTGGTGTTTTTCTCAGGTGAAAGGAGCAGTAGATGATGATGTAGCAGAAGGTAAGAAAGCATTTAATAATGCAAAATTTGGATATATAATTTTTTCAGAACTCTTTCCTGAGGGATTTCCTTGAAGCCGAGACTACTAAAAATTCAAGATGATTTTGTGTTTATTGTCCAAGAAATGTAAAAACAGTTTTAAAAGTTACCTTTCTGAAATACAGCCTTGTTTCTTTTGTAATTTATGCCTTGTTTTTATTATTTTTACTCTGAATTTACATGAAAGGAGCAATGGATGATTAGACGTATAGAATCATCACATGAAAGCTCTGAGCTCCATATAAGGGTTTCTTTGTTACATAAATTCCACATAGGAATAAATGGTGATGCGTTTTTCTGTTTGTACATTGTTTTTAGATAAGTAAATTGAAATAGGTGCCATCGACATTTGGCTCAGAAACATTCTTAGCAGCATCTTTTATTTTTATGGGAAGATTTTTAAATTCTTTTGACTTTGTCTGCTGTGGGAATGTAATACTGATTGGCATATTCTGTGAAGAGGTGGTAGCTCAGATTATTCATTTTGTTGTCTTTCTGGTATTTAGGTGGGTAAGACAGTAACTGCTATGCATATATCGCTTGTCTTCTAGAAAGCTGCTATTCTTGCTGCAGGTAGAAACTGTGTTTGATCAATTGAAGTACTTATGTCTAATTTTCTCCCCAAATTTGTTGACTGATGTGTTTCAGAAGTTGAGTTTTGAAACTTCAAGGTCGTACATTTGTTTGAGATGGTCTTAGGCAACAGAGGCATTTCCCATAAAGTAGTTGCATTATTTCATTGCTCAGAAGTGTTAAAATTTGAGCTTTAATAGTATTCTGTGTCTTGAATTACAGTAGGAATTTTCCAGACAAAACTCAAGATAAATTTAAACGTACTTTTTGAGTTTTAAAAAATTGTTTGGTGAAAATTCACAAACCTTTTTTCCCTAGATTGTGTTGTCCTCATATTTCTGACCTGTCTGTAGAGTACTGTTTGGAGATTTTTTTTCAGGTGGTGGATGGTAGGAGATGGCTTTGCGTTTAGCCAGCCGAATGCTTTTATTTGCTTGTGTCAGTGTCATTCTTAATGAAGTGTCTGTTTTAGAGTGTGGTGAATCCTATGGGAAGCCAACTGGCATGTGCTATATTTGTCATATTTTGCAGAGCTCTCATGTTCCTTTTCTGTTGGATCCTCATCTGTTTCTTAGACAAGAAACCAGTAACAAAAGAGACTGACTGATAGTCATACAAATAGTATAAATCAGGGTTTTCTGGTGAAGTCCGTGGTGTTTGACTTGTTTAGAGAAATAAGTCCTAACTTCAAGGGAGGAGTTGTGTATTACTCATGTTGTAACTCCATTACCTGTTAAATAGTAGACACTCCAGTATTGGATCATTAGTTCTGTGCTGTTGTGTAATACTCACCAAGTTTTGAAAGTGCTGTATACTTGGAAACTGTTCTTTGGTTGAATTCCATTTACTCCCTTAAGAAAGGTCCCCTAAAAGCTGAGCACTGAGGATACTTGTTGTCTAGAACATAAACTCTGCCCACAGTGAGCTCATGGTTTGCTTGTTAAACATTAGGCAGAAAGACCACTTGGCTTTTATTTAATCAGAAGAAATTGGTATTTCAAACTGAACATCATTTAGCTGAAGCAAATAACTTGTGATACAGAGTAAGTCCTCACTTAATGTTGTCAATAGGTTCCGCAACTTTAAGCAAAGAAAGCAACTTAAAATCATTTTTTGTCAATACTGTAACAAGATGCTGAGCAGAAAGCTAAGTCGAAGTTTTCAAGAACCTATTGGCCATGTAAAGTGAGCAGATAAATCAGTTATAGTTTCCCTTTGCTAATACTTAGTAGCTGCATTTTTCTACTGATTCATTAAGTAATTTTCTTTTGAGGTTGTTAAATGTTATTTTAACATAAGCATATTTTTAACATCCTAAAATGCTACTTGGTATATATATATATATTATAGTAAAAAAAAAATTTTATCTTAGTAAAAATATGTACTTGTTCTAATAGCTATTGCTATACAAATATATTAAGTATAAAGATCCAATTTTCAATGACACCACTTTAATTTGGGTTTTTTTTTGCATACTAGAGTTTGCATATTATAGTCTTGTTTGTTTTACTAAGGGAAGCTTTGCTTTTCTGAAGTAAAATAAGATTATTAACACATTTCCCCCTCCCACCCCATGTTTAGACAGATCTCTTAAACAGGTTACATGTAGGTCAACTTTTTACTCGCCTGTTTTCTGTTAATGATGTATCTGGATTGTCTACATATTGTCTGTCTTTCTCCCATCTACATGCAGTCAGCTGCCAGGGCATACCATTTTTACTCTGTAATGCCTTAATCTTCTTTGCATACCTGCTTTCACCTCTATTTGGGTTTGCACTCTTTCTCATCTGGATTGCAGTAACTTCCTAAATTATTCTCTGCTTCTTCATCCTATGTTTTGCTTCTGAGTTAATCTTAAATGCAGTCCCAGTTTTGTCATTTTTCTCATAAATCTACAGTGGATCACTGTCCACTGGATTAGGAGTTAAGTTAAACATGTCAGTCTAGAATGTATGACCTTTGTCCTGTATCGCCTCTCCTTTTCTCAGTCTATTTGCTGCAGTGGCTAATGATCCAGCTAAACAGGTACTGTTCTTCAAAGGCGTTCTATGCTCTCTCACTTTTGAGTTTTTGTTTTTTGCTGCTTCCACCTTGGGATGCCTGACAGTCCTCCCGCAGTTCTCTTACCTGGATCCTGCTTATGCTTCAAGTCATGCCTTTAACCTTTTTGCTTAATTCCCTCTTTTGGAAATACCTATTTTTTAAATCTTCCTTTATAGCATTTCGTTGCGTAGATATCATATTTTGCACCCCACATCTCTACTGTTAGATACTACAAGCTTAGTGCAGGACTGATTTATCTTCGTACCTTATGCAGGCATGAAACTGCCCTGTCTAGAACAATGCCTGGCACACAGTAGTTGAGTATTGTTTGACTGAAGGAACATAAATGTTATTGTTCTTAGGTTTTGAAAGGGGGTGAGAACTGGTAAAAGGCAGGATGATGAAGATGTACTTCTAGCAGTCATGGATTTATTTACTTGGTAGAATTTTTAAAATAAAAATTTTAAACGCTCTCTGCAGAATCATTGGTAGGCTTTTTATAATTGAGTTGATGATATACAACTGTACAATAAATATAAATCAGAGGAGCTTGGGTTTCTACCCTAGCTCCAGCACAAACTAGTGTATGTCACTTGGGAACTGGGGATAAGTACTCCCCTGGGTTCCTGTATGTTTAGCAATGAAGTAACAAGGCTGGATTAGGTGATTTCTGCTTTTCCTTGTACTCTAATCTTGTTAATTTCCAGTGGCATCTAAAAAGAAACAAGCCAAATTCTTTTTCTTTTTTTTTTTTTGAGATGGAGTCTCACTCTGTCAGGCTGGAGTGCAGCGGCGAGATCTCGGCTCACTGCATCCCCTGCCTCCCCGGTTCAAGTGATTCTCCTGCCTCAGCCTCTTGAGTAGCTGGGACTACAGGCACGTGCCACCATGTCCGGCTCATTTTTGTATTTTTAGTAGAGGTGGTTTTGCCATGTTGGCCAGGCTGGTTTTGAACTCCTGACCTCAGCTGATCACCTGCCTCTGCCTCCCAAAGTGCTGAGATTACAGGCGTGAGCCAGCAGCCACAAAATTATTAGTACTGGTAATAATTACTGGTAATTAACACTACTGGTAAGCTAAATTGTTTGAGATACTGGACTCTCTAGAAGCCTTAAGTCAAAAATAATTATTACTAGTAATATATTTTATATTTTTAATTTTTCTTTTATTGATAACTTTGTCATGAGACGGTAGGTAAGAGCACAGACTCAGGTGCTAGGCTGCATGGTTTGAATCTTAGTCATTTATCAGTTGTGTGATCATCTCTTTGTGCCTGGCTCCCCTCTACAAAATGAGGGTAACAGTAAAACCTGTCTTACTGTTACTTTGATGATTAAATGAGTTTATACACATAAAATAGAACAGTACCCAGCACAAAAGAATCTTATGAGGATTTAGATATTATTATTACTTGAACCTTTATTTTATTCTTACTTTGAAGAGAGGAGTCTTTGGGGTATGAGTAAATTGGGGAATTGTCTTTAAAGCCTACTAAAGATTTCTCAAAGTGAAGGAAACAGCATATGTGTATTTTATACATATTCTTTGAATCCACTAGTAATAAATTATAAAATACATTAAAAACTAAGCTATAGGTTTAGAGACACATACGAAGCTGGTAAAACTACAAAGAAAAGCTATGAAGTAAAAGAAAAAAAGTACTGTAAAAAATACTATAAAAGTCAGTGTACAGGCTGCTTTGAAGCTGTTGGGAGGGAGTTGTGATTGGGAAGGCTGGGGAGGCATCTTAGGGGCTGCCTTGACTGGGATGATGGTTGTACAGAGGTTTATAAAGACTAACCTAGACATTTTCGTTTCAATTTTTGGTTTTCTTTATCAGTCAGATTTCATAATAAGAGGTTTTTAGTTAATACTGTACTACAGGATTTAGGATGAAAAGTGGCAGTCCCCTAGCTCACCCGCTCCTTAATCCCTAGGCCGACTCCAAAGAGTAGTTGTTCCACTCTTCTGCTGGATTCCTTAGTGCGTCATTTCCTTTTTGGGAATAAAATGATATTTCTATATCTTATCAATTTTAGACATCTCCAGCTGACTTCCTCCTCTAGTAGATGACGACTAAGCTGTTCACATTGTCACCCCATGTCTCTCTCCATTGTGTCGCGGTGTTACATCACACGCTGTGGTTAAATTGGATGTCAGTGCTCATGTTGTTGTGACCATGCCCTCGTTCCCTACTGAACCTGTAGTGCTCAACAATGTTTATTTCATCCTGAAGAAAATACAGTAGTTGCTTGTTTATTAATTTGGCTACTATTTTTTTTTTTAATACGTAATCATTCTGGAACATTACAGAGAGTATGTATGATGATATAATGGACTCCCAT